CAAGGCCAAAATCTGAAGTCACACACCAGTGTCCAAGAAATTTTGAAAAAAAAAAAAAATTATTTTTTCTTACAGAATTAAAGAGCATATTTTTGTGAAGGTAATAAAACAAAAAAAATAGAATCTGATCAGTACTTACCGAGATACAGTGCCAAGAAGTTTATAGAAAATGATGTGGTGGTGGCAACATCGACGAATTCCACATACGCGTATTATATTATTTTGTTGTTTTAGTTGTTTTTTTCTTTTCTTTTCCAATTTTTTTCTATTCCTACTAACATTTGGGGCCTGAGAGACCAATACTGTATATAATTGATATATATAAACTCACTGTATTGAACACAATAACCGCACTAAAGTTATTATCATATTATTGTTTACCACTGTTGTTTATTACAATAAACATGCACAAATATTGTATAATACTAATGTTCTATCATATATTTACATATTTACAATCACTGGACATGGTTTTAGAACTGCTGGAGCTTGTCCGAACTCCTTGAAACAAGGCACCATGCACAGAGGCACCTTACATTCCTCACACATAAACCGAGTGTCTTTGCATCTTTGTTGCCGTCGTTTGTTTTGTGCACAGACAATGCATCTCTTCTGAGCAAATTTCTTTTGAGTTGAAGGAAGCTGTATTATGAAATGATCACCTTCTCTCCTCAAACGCTTGGGTATATCGTGATGAATTCGAGGACCATGTTTGTATTGCAGGTGTTGTTACCTGGTACTTCATTATGAGTTGTCTGACAACAGACAAACAAAATTCACACATACGGTGGTCTGTTACCAGTCTTTATTTGGTACATATTATATGCATTCAGCATTGAAATGTCCATGAGATGGAAGAAAAGTTTCATGTACCACTTGTAACTCTTACGAACACAGTCAACAAAACCAATCTGCATGTCACACTTGTCAACCAAGTGCATGTTTTGTGTATAATCAATCACTGACACTGGTTTTCGAATACGTTCATTAGTCACTCGATCAACTTTGCCACTGTCTTGCATTTCATTACAGTGAATGGTTGTCAACACTGTGACATCTCGTTTGTCATGCCACCGTAATGCCATGATGTCCATTGGCAGTAACACCTGCACGTCATTACCACGAACACCTGCGTTGAGCCTGGGCATATGTTTACGATTAGAACGCACTGTGCCACACACATCTGTCTTGTTCACTCGCATGAAATCACTGAGTAATGGGCTTTTGTACCAGTTATCGGTATATAATGTATGGCCCTTACCAAGATAAGGTGCCATCATGTTTCTCACTACGTCACCTGAGATACCCAATAACATCTTGGATCTTTCAATGTTTTACTACCCATGTATACAACAATATCCAACACCAGGCCACTGTCACAATCACAGAGTACAAACAATTTATACCAAAGCGGTTCCTCTGCTCGTATATACTGCTTGAATGACAGTCTACCTTTGAACAAAATCAAAGACTCGTCAATTACAAGATTCTTGAATGGATAAAAGTATATGCTGAACTTTTGTTTGAGATACATGAAAACATTTCTAATCTTGTATAACCTGTCACTTCTGTCAGCCTGTTTTGTCAGAGAAGTGCAACATACGTAACAGTAAGATAAACCTGTTCACTGGTATTATATCACTGAAGGATGGGTAGAAATTAGCCGATCTGTGACCAGTATGCTTTTATATTATGCTTATAGACGTGAGGCATAAGCATTATTGTTGCAAAAAGCAAATACCATTTCTGCAACAGTCCGTCTCTTTCCACCTGTGTAGTCTTGACTGAGGTGATAAGATCGTATTTGCCATGGTGTACTGAAAATACTTATTACTTTCCCTGGCAATAATTTCCATCAATGGCTGGTCAAAGAATAATTCAAAGAATTCCAGTTCATTGGCCGTGGTTCCAAGGGGACAGGTAGTAGAATTCCACTTTGAGAGTCATCAAAGTGGTGAGGCTTGGGAACAAAATTGGATTTTGCTGCCAATCCCACATACGGTTTTTCTGGTGGATACTGGACATCATAGGCTGGTTGTACGGGTGGTTGTGGTTTGGCGGCTGGTGGGTGACGCTCTCCGCTTTGTCCTTGAACTGACGAGTCAGCAGCGTGGGTCCCCGCATGGCACGGTGAGTCACGCATGGCGGTGCCACTACCACCACCAGCACCACTAACACCATCCACTGATGCCTGTGGCCCATCCATGCCAAGTGTAGCCACATCATCCTCACTATCACTACCTAAACTGGTGTAGGCCACGGATGTACTCCGGGATGTACTCCGTCCCCTGGGCACAGCATAGGGTACACTACCCAAGCGCATGCGGCGGCGAGCATACCGACGCTTCACTGGTGAATATGATTCCTCACTATCACTACTCGAATGATCGTCGAGTGCAATAAAATCACAATCCACGTCAGAATCATCGTCATTACTGAAGTCAGAGGCCTGGCCACGCGAAAATATTAGTTTTTCTTACGTTTAGGAACACCCAACCGTGAGTCACGAGTGCCCACACCAGAGGTAGAAGGTCGAGGATCGTCAGGGTTTTCTGCACTATTATCGATATCCTGGTCATTATTTTCGGTCACTAACTTATCAAAGCCATAGAATTCGTCTTCATTTGCACTTCCATCAGTGTCGGAACTATCAGACAGGAAGAGGAGAGTCCCAATTTTCCGGGGAGTGAGAGCTGACTTGCGACGAGGCATGGTGAACAAGGGTGACTGAGCCGGCGTTCCCACAATGCTATGCAGGCACCTAGATTTTTTGTTTACGGCGCACACCCATGGCACAGACCCATTCTCTCACATGTAGGCCTATGAGCGCTTTCGCGCTAAATTTGATGGCGCTAGAATTTTGGCGTAGATCTACGGTTTGGACACTCACCGAAAAGCCGTAGATCTACGGGACGGACCCTGAAAGGGTTAAAACACTCAGAAAAATAATCCTAACATTTTCATAAGACAAGGCACTTTGACGGCGTTCCCACAATGCCATGCAGGCGTCCAGATTTTTTCTGTAGTGCGCACACTGACCACCCAGACCCATTCTCTCAGATGTAGGCCTACCAGCCTTCTTGCCCTAAATTTGACGCTGTTAGAATTTTTGCGTAGATCTACGGTTTGGACCCTCAACATAAAGCCATAGATCTATGGGATGGACCCTGAAAGGGTTAACTACCCAGTAACATGGTGAGAAATTTGCAATTTGGCCAATTTCACACAAATTAAAAAATATGCCAATTTCAAAATAGGGTCCAGAATGAACAGTGCAGACATTCCTGGCTCTAAAATAACATTTTATTTGTTCATCAGTCATGTCTCCAGGCCCCTCTGATATTACTCTTGCTTTCTATTTTGAATTTTTATTCAAACAAAAAATAGAAGATTTACTGTTATGCAGACTACTTAAATATTGTAATAATTGTATAAATAATGTCAACCCATTCGTGATTGCATATTAGAATGGCTAGTTGGACATTTATTGGACAATGACATTGTTTGTTTACTTTTGAACATCGGCAAGAATCAAACATTTCCCTTACTTTGAGCTCCATTTCAAGGTTCTTTTCATAGTAAAACCAGTCAATATTACCTCTATTTCTATAATATGTTTTCCATTCTATCAAATGAGACCAAGAAAACAAGAATACAGCCATAAATACTATATGAAAATAGACCACAAAGTCAGCTTTTAATCCAAAAAAAAGTCAGTTTTTTTTTCTCATTATGCACTGCGTGCTGCAGGATTTTTCTAAATGGTGCACACTGACCACACAGACCCATTCTCTCACATGTGGGCCTACCAGCTTTCTCCTGCTTGATTTGAAGCCTCTAGAATTTTTGAGTATATATATGTCAAACACGGTGGCTCGTAAGACGTATATATATGCCCGAAACAGTCAAAGGGTTAAACAAGCATAGGTAAAATGTGAGTGTAAAATGAAAGCCTGTAATTGTTTTACATGTTGGTAGGCTTGCTGGTGTCTTTTTTTTTTGTCTCGTAAACATGCAAAATTTCAGGTACGTCTTGCTACTTCTCCTTACATTTAGGTCACACTACACATGCATGTACAAGCATATATATAAACACCCTTTAGGGCTTTCTTCTATATTTCTTACTAGTTCTTGTTCTTGTTTATTTCCACTTATCTTCATGGGGAAATGGAATAGAATTCTTCCTCCATAAGCCATACGTGTCATAAGAGGCGACTAAAATTCCAGGAGAAAGGGGCTAGTAACCCCTTCTCCTGTATATATTACTAAATGTAAAAGGAGAAACTTTCATTTTTCTTTTTGGGCCACCCCGCCTCGGTGGAATACGGCCAATGCGTTGAAAGAAAGGAGTAAAATATCTGGCTACCCGGACTTGAGTCCTGGAAATGGGAAGTACAATGCCTGCACTTTAAAGGAGGGGTTTGGGATATTGGCAGTTTGGAGGGATATCTAAACTCAAGTATCTGAGTGCCTCTGCCTCTGCAAAGACAGTGATTATGTATGAGTGATGGTGTAAGTGTTGAATGATGATAAAAGTTTTTTCTTTCTTTTTGGGTCACCCTGCCTCGGTGGGAAATGACTGACATGTTCATAAAAGAGTGAAATGTAGGGTAAGATAAACTGTATTATTTTGTGCATAATAGAATATAAAAAAGGAAAGAAAAATGTTGCTTAGCAAATATGGAGGTGCATGGAAAATAATCCTTTTTTTCCCTTGTGTTCTTAATTCATATAAGGCAGTTTTTATATAAGTGCTGATTTTCAGAAATGTGTAATCTTTATGTTAATTTAGTGTTTACTGTACTACATATCCATCTAGCCCCCCTTCCTTCTTTCTTTCCCTCCCTCTCTCCCTTCTTCCTTCCCTCCCCCCTACCCTCTCCCTTTTCTCCCTCCTTCTCTTTCCTCCCTCCCCTCTCCTATTACCCAACCTACTTTTTGTGCTTTCATTTCTCTGCCCCTGTATACATTATATACAATCATATTGGTATTCCTTACAGGTCAATCTTCCGTTTATATATGGGACTCACCACACAAAGATGATGATATTCGAGTATCGAGATGGTCTTCGAGTTGTTGTACACACTGCAAACCTTGTTCCAGATGACTGGTATGAGAAAACCCAAGGCTTCTGGGTGTCTCCTATATTTTCCACTCCTAGGTGAGGTTTAATTCTTGATCACTTTTGTAGAAACTCATGCAGTACTTACATTTTGAATGTAATATTCATATAGTTTTTTCAGTGTTTTTATAAATAACTGCACTCTTTTAAATAAAATTTCTATGTAAATATTTCACATTTTCACCTTGCCCCTTGACAGCCATTGCTATATATAGTAGACCCTTATATTACACTTTAGTTACGTTCCTGAAAATGTTGTGTTAGATGAAAATCCCTGTCATATAATCTGAAGAGCTATGAGAAAAATTAGGTTACGTTCCTAGGACCCCCCAAAAAGCCAAACAATTTTTTTTTTAGACATTCAGATCTTTCAGAAATAAAAATGATAATGTTTTTGTTGCTTAATACTACAAATGCAGTGGAAATAATATTATGTACCTTAAATTGTGGTTGCTGGTGTATGTCAGTGATTGTGAAGAGAGTGGAGATGCATGGTGTTGTGGCCCTACTGGGCTGAGGTGGATGGTTGTTGGTTGTCAGCAGAAATGGATGGTTGAGGTTCTGGTACTAAAGTTGATGGTTGTATTGGAGTGTGCATAAACTCTGTAATAGATCTCTGGTTTCTTTTACCCTGCAGTACATTATACAGCTGATGGTAAGGCATCATCAGCTGCTCCAGACCCTGTTTCAAAGCACTGCTGCTAGATCTGTCAGGGTCCTCTTCAGTGAAAAGTCTACTAGTTTAGCAGCAGTGTGGAACAGCTCACATAACTGCTGCAATGTTAACTGTTATCTGGTTCCATTGTATCTGTGCATTGAGCTCTGGTAACATTTCCTCTGGACTCCTGTCTTCATCATCATCATCTTCTAAGAGCTCATTCACATCTTCCTTCATATCTTGAAAGCCATCACCTGGTAATCTCCTTGCTAACTGAACAATTTCCTGAACCTGACTCTCAACCAAGGAAAAACCAGTGAAAGAATTAACTACAGATGCCATAACTTTCCCCAGCCTGCATTTAATATTGATTGGGGCACTTCATTCCATCCACTTCTAGCATAGCTAATGGCATCTGCTATGTTAAATTTATTCCAGAAGTTTGGTACTGCCAGGTTGGAGTCAGAGTGTTTCCAAATTTTTTTCCCTCCCACAAACCAAACTGTGTTAAGTTAATTTTACAAAGTGTTGTGTAAAATTATGCAGCAATTTTTCAATACTACAATAACCAAAACGTGCCAGATAAATCCGTGTAATATAAGGGTCTGCTGTATATCGTAAATACTGTAAAAAAAAAAAATTAACAAAGCATCATTAATTTTATATGTAATAAAACTATAAATAATTTGGTCCTTTGTAAAATCTGTCACCAGTGAGTATGGTAGGATTTAGGATTGAGACACTTATGCAGCATATGGGAATCTTTATTCAGGAAACGTTTTGCCACACAGTGGCTTCATCAGTCCAATACAAAGAGGAAGGCGTAAGGAGAGGAGGAGTATGAGGTAATCAGTCCCTCAGCCTGGAGTCGATGTGTTCAGTCCATCAATCTTGTAGAATGTACAGCATAGGGCTTATATACTGTAGTGAGGTGAGGCGAAGCAGGAGGAGGTGGGGTCATAGTGGTACCATCCGCTAGTCGAAGTAGGTCTTCGTCCAAAGGTTGGACAAGTGTTGAAGAATTCTTTGTAACAAGATCCCATGATGCTGCAGTGTCTGACAGTTGTGATGAATGGTTTGAAAAACTGACAAGTTGAAGATTGAGACACTTATGCAACCTATGAGAGACACTAACAAAACAAGACATCAGGATGACACAACTCGAGAACAAAATCCTCAGTCTTGAACAAAAGTTATCAACACCAGGAATGACTAACTGTGACAAGACCATCCAAACAGTCATAGATAGCCATACTCAACAAATAGTATCTCTTAATACAAAGGTTGAAGAAGCAGTAAAAGAATGGAAGAACAACTTAGATAACCAGTTCAGTGACTACTTTGCTCTCCAAGAAGATAAAACTGAGCAAGATAAACTATCGGACGCAGTAATAGTTAACAGTCCACTTTTTCCCAGTGATACGAACCAAACGAACAGTAAAGAAATTACTCTGCAGATCATAAAGGACAAACAAATGTTATTTTACCAGAGTCAAAAAAA